ATATCCCTTTATTTAACTAAAATTAGATTGGTTGCATGGAGTTCAATTCCTTATATTCATGTTTATTCTTCATTGGTTGAAGAACCCTATGTATGCTGCTGTGCAAAAAAGTGGATACAGTGGCTTGCATCCAAGCATCTATTACTTCTATGACAGCACAGAAAAAAAACATTGGTGATTGGTGGCTTGATAGTCAGCTTACCTTGATGATTGTCAAATGGAGGCTTTGTTATGAATATAGCACTGAATGATCAGACAATCGCGGGAGGTTTTCCAGTTCAGCAAATTAACTATTGGAGTTTTCTTATGATCACTACCATTCCATACGTGAAACAATTACTGGGAAAAGGTGCCAAAATTATTTTCTGCACAGTGAAGTCAAACAGGAAACATTTAGCTCTTTTCCACACCCTTAGCAATCTGAAACACTTTTCTAGAAGGACTCCAACACTGGACACCCATTTTACCCTATGGTGCCCATTGACACCTGAGCATTGTGCTGCTTCAAGCTTCTCAAAAGAAGTTCGAAAAGATACATGAGCTTCTTTGGGGCAGAGTAGCACATTCCTGATCCCTATGGTCTTCAATGGGAGTGTCTGAACAACGTGTGCAACCTAGGTCTTTTTGTGTTATTTCTTGTAAATAACTTTCCATTGGCTAAAACAAAAACTCTCAAGCCTGAAAAATATGTGAAAAAATGCTCATATAAACACTCCAAAAGAAACTTAAGCTCAAGTGTGAACCTAGCCTTGAACCAAGTTTAGACAAGCATTTTCTGCCTCTGCACTTAACATATGAGGTAGTTGGGTTTTGAGACCCCTGGGTTCTGGCATTCATCTTGTGACTGCCATTATATTTATGCATGGCTCTGAATTTACCATAATTACACCTGTAAATTATGGGCCAAAGATTTTCTGGTCCTAAGCCCATTGTCTGCCGATCTCAGAGTGTGACAGAAGGCTAATGTCAAACACATTCTAAAGAGACTTTAGAACCCTGGTGCCCAATCGTGGCCCTTTGGCACCTACTGTCTGGCCCTCATTGCTCCTGAAGACGGTGGAGTGTTTTGGTGCATACTCATGCCAGTGAGAGAAAAACATTTCAAGTGGATTCTAGTAGTTTGGTTTAGTACTTTTTCACTATTCTAACTTTATTTTCTGTGTTGCCCATCCCATTGTTCTTTTTACATTGTGTTTCTTCATCTAATCATTTAATACAGATCTTGCCAAGAGAATCAGAAGTGGACTAAAGAACATTTTAAGAGGGCTGCAGGGAGCATAAATGTGGAAATATGGACTTGTAAAGGGGATGTAAAAGCAGTAATCTCTAGTTATCTCATGTAACGTGTCTCCAGTCTGTGACTGTCTCCTGAGGCACGTCTCCATTCTCCAAAAACATCTGTAGTATATTTGCCTTCTCTAGACATCTTTAGTCTCTGACAGTTTTCCATAGCTTTAGATTCACTGAATATTACATGCAGCCCTTTGGTGATGTCAGAGACTGCACTATATCGATTAGATTGATCACAACTGCTTTAGAGTCTGTCTACTGTGAACTATAAAAGCTTGCAGCTATGGCCAACACCCATTGATTCCTTGTGCTCCTTATACAGCCCCATGGCAAATGTACATCACTGAAGACTCTAAAGCCAGTCATAGATGGATCGATTTCCATACCTGTTCAGCAGGGACTGGCTGAGATTCGATCAATCTATGGGCAGGCTGCTTGTACTGAACTTGATCCATCAATCGGCTTCACTACAACCATACTATCATATTTTTTGCATGCGATTACTACCAGCAGCTATAGCCGCCAGCAGTAAATATTGCTTTCTGCAGGCAGTGAAGGCTTCCTGCAGGCAGAACACAATAGCACTGCGGGAAGGGATTGAAATTCAGTGTTGATGAGGGAATTGAGCTATTTTCTATGGGTTGCAGTTAAGAAAATTACATTATCTATAGCTTACCTAACTCTGCCCTGCAGCTTAGTAGTAGAATTAGGTGGCTCATTAACATTTGAGAAAGGAAAATGAGAGAAAAAGTGTAATTATGTACAAATCATTAGTAAAACCTCATCTGGAATATGCAGTTCAGTTTTGGGCACCAATTCACAAAAAGAACATTGGGGAACTGGAGAAAGTACAGAGAAGGGCAACCAAACTGATACGAGGTATGGAGCAGCTCAGCTATGAGGAAAGATTAGAGGAACTGAATTTATTCTCTCTTGAGAAGAGGAGATTAAGGGGGGATATGATCAACATGTATAAATACATCAGTGGTTCATATAGTGAACTCGGTGCAGAGTTATTCACCCTGAGGTCATCACAGAGGACAAGGGGGCACTCTTTACATCTGGAGGAAAAGAAATGTAATCGCCAAATACGGAAAGGTCTCTTCACAGTAAGATATGTGGAATAGACTCCCTCAAGAGTTGGTTCTGGCCAGCTCAGTGGATTGCTTTAAAAAAGGCCTGGATTCTTTCTTAGATACACAGAATATAACTGGACACTAACATTTATAGGTAAAGTTGATTCAGGGAATATCCGATTGCCTCTCGGGGGATCAGGAAGGAATTTTTTTCCCTGCAGGAGCAAATTAGATCATGCTTTTCTGGGGTTTTTTTTGCCTTTCTCTGGATCAACTGTGGGTATAGGATTATAACTTTTTTTTTCTTTAATGGTTGAACTGGATGGACTTTTGTATTTTTCAGCCAGACTAACTATGTAACTATGGCCAAAACAACTAACCAGATATCACCATTTATTTTACAAAATAAAGTAAACAACAATTGTGATTTGTCACTGTGGGTAACAGCTCAACACTTAATCACATTTACTTTACTGCAGTTTTAATGAATCAGCCCCAGCCTACACAAGGAAAAATATGTCAGGAGGAGCTCTCCAATGTACACTCAAATTACTTTGTTCATTAACCAGGAACAATGCACATGCAGGAGATGTTTCAATCCAACCTGCTTCTTTGTCAAGCTTTGAAATATATTCAGGCTGGGCCGAAACATTCCCTGGGGAACTCTGATCTGTTTTCTTGATAAGTTTTTAAACTATTTGCTTTGCCAGTGTTTGCAGATCAGAAGTTGATGCTCATTTCTTCCTATATGCATTCTGTTTCTACAGCCCAGGTTGGCTCTTTGGTGGATGTGAACTCGTTGACTTCACCCATGCATTGAAACACTCGATTTTACAACAGATTTCATAATTTCATCAGAAGCCTAACTTATTCATGCAAGTGTGTTTGTATATGAAGGCAATTAATTGGTGCTTGTCTTCAGACACTGTTTACACCAAACTGCCTCACTTGCTGGCCCAGACAGGTAAATGTCTTACATATATACAAAGTATCCCATCCATCAGTCACAAAGCATTGTTTACTGTGCACACATCGTACTGTTTACACACTACATCCAGCCAGAATTATTCAGCTGGGGCTGGTAGAACAATTCCACATCTTAATAACAAGTCAAAGTGACTCGTGACTCCCTAAAGGAATCCAGCTCCACTCACTGATGTTTGTTTTCTTTTTCTGGTCTGTTTGCCTAGAAATTATTTCATGACTATTTATCCCTTGATCTCCCTGCATGTCAAATTTCACTGTACGTGAGATGTCTCTTATCATCTATAAAAAGCAACACAAAAGCAATATAGATCTGCATGGTTGCAAGTTACACAGATACACACACACAAAAAAAAAAAAAAAAAAAAAAAAAAAAAAGAAGAAATAAGCCCAATCAGCTCACAATTCCAGGAATAAATTGCTTAGTAAAATTATAACAAAAAGAAATGACCTAGAGTCTTTGTTCCCATGTGTTGTAATTCTTGTTATCGTTAATCTGATTTATTAGTACTAACTGATCACATGCTAAAGGAACCCGTTCTGAGAAATCACAGTCAGTGCTGAACTCTTGTCAAAATGTTGCTGATCCACTGGCAGTGCAGTAGTGGTCCCCAGCTATCGCTGTTATAAAAATCAAACCACGCAGTTGTGGTTATCTAAAATCTGTATGCCAGGGGTTACTGTGCTTTGCACATTATTGTTGAATTAGGTTGTATTTGCAAATAACGTCAAGGACTCATGCACACAGGCACCTGGGGCCATATGACATATAATTCGGGGAGCACGTGCTGTATGCAGCCGCCTAGAGACATCAACAAACATGCATGCAGACATATGCCCCTAGGTACCAGTGTATACCCATGTACAGACAATGCTTTCTATGGGCAGCTGTGGGCAGAACCTATAGACCCTGAGCAAAGAAATACACCCAAGTCTTCCAACCTATTACCCCAGGTGCCCATGTGCACAAGACCTTGAAGTATTTTAAATTCAAGCTAATTCAATAGGTAACAACAATGTGCAGTGACCCATGGGGGTTTATTTACTAAAGCTGGAGAGTCCAAATTCAGACTCCTTTCTGCATAGAAACCAATCAGCTTCTAACCTCAGCTTGTTCAATGAAGCTTTGGCAATGAAACCTGGAAGCTGATTGGTTTCTATGCAAAAGTGAGTCTGATTTTGCACTCTCCAGCTTTAGTAAATAAACCCCATGGTGACTAGATTTCAGACTAGAACAATCAGATCACTGAAACGTGGCATTTTTATAAGCACAATGGCCTTCTCCACTATAATGAGCCTAGAACAGCAGGCCTGTTATTTGGGTGCAAGATCTGGCCATATAAATATTACTCCTAATATGAAAGATTTGTTGCCTTGAATACCAAGCATAAGATGGAAGCCTGTAAGGGCTCCTTTTAATGCATGTTGATACTCAGGGTCCATTCATACTTTAACAGTGTTGCGTAAAACACGCATTGTGTGGTGCATACATTAAGGCAAACATTTGAATGTGCTGCCAATACACCACAAAACAAACAAAAATTACGAAGCAACATTTTTTTCTGGTGCAGTGCACCACGACATTAGTTGTGTTTCATGGTGCACTGCATGCTGTATTAAAGCTTTGGGGTGACCAGGGGCGGACTGACCATTCGAGCACTCGGGCACTGCCCGAGGGCCCGGGGTCAGTAGGGGGCCCCATGAAATGCCCCTGGTACCTTTTTTATAGGCTTTTTTGAGTGTGGGCAAGGACACAGGGGCCCCATGATCCCCTATTGCCTGGGGGCCCCATGAGTTGTCAGTCCGCCCCTGGGGGTGACATTCATAATGGATTGTGTTGTGGTGACACACTTCAACAAAACATCCAATTGTGGATGGGCAATTGGATGGGCAAACATCCAATTGTGGAGATGGCTTTCAACAGATACAAGCTCATTTTTAGCCATGCAGATCTAAAAAAGCTTCAAGGACAAGAACTTATACAGTTACATACTTAGTCTGAAAGAACACATGTCCATCTAGTTTATCAACTTGACTATTCAACTTTTTCTGAACATTGTTACTACATGACCATTAATTACTAATGATATCTGGCTTTGTAAAGAACAGACGGATAACTTGTTAGACAAGACACAAAGAAATTGTGGTAGCTATAAAATCTGCATTCTTGTCATCCATGCAGCACAATCAAGAAGGTTCCCATATAGAGTAGCCCAATCGGTCACTAGAGTTCTCCTTTATATAGAAGGTATTTTATAAGACACGAGAACTCACTTTAATCCCAGCTCTCCATGTACAGTTGTGACCAAAATTATTCAACCCCCACTGAAATTGAGTGTTTTGGCCAGTTTGACATTGCTTTTGATCATTCAGTCATCTTGCTTACATTTACATTAAAGAGGCACTTGTAGGTCAGACAAATATAACATAACAGTTATAATGAAATAACCACAAATGTCTTTTCTGTGCTCACAGCATTATCAGTTTTATTCAACCCCCAAGTGACATTCAATCTTAGTACTTAGTACAGCATCCTTTTACAGTTATAACAGCTTTTTAAACGTGAAGCATAGCTTGACACAAGTGTCTTGCAGCGATCTACGGGTATCTTCGCCCATTTCTTCATGGGCAAAGGCCTCCAGTTCAGTCACATTCTTAGGCTTGCGCACTGCAACTGCTTTCTTTAAGTCCCACCAGAGGTTCTCAATCGGATTTAAGTCTGGTGACTGCGATGGCCACTCCAAAATGTTCCAGCCTTTCCTCTGCAACCATGCTCTAGTGGACTTGGAGGTATGCTTGGGATCATTGTCCTGTTGAAAGGTCCAACGTCTCCCAAGCCTCAGGTGTGTGACGGACTGCATCACGTTTCCATCCAATATCTCCTGGTACTGAAGAGAATTCATGGTACCTTGCACACGCTGAAGCTTCCCTGTACCTGCAGAAGCAAAACAGCCCCAAAGCATGATTGACCCTCCACCATGCTTCACAGTAGGCAAGGTGTTCTTTTTCATCATAGGCCTTGTTCTTCCTCCTCCAAACATAGCGTTGATCCATGGGCCCAAACAGTTCTAATTTTGTTTCATCAGTCCACAGAACACTATCCCACAACTTTTGTGGTTTGTCCACATGGCTTTTTGGCATACTGCAGTCGACTCTTCTTATTCTTTGGAGACAGCAAGGGGGTACGCCTGGGAGTTCTGGCACGGAGGCCTTCATTACGCAGTGTGCGTCTTATTGTCTGGGCTGAAAACTTCTGTACCCACATCTGACAAATCTTTTCTCAGTTCCTCAGCAGTCACACGGGGACTTCTCTCCACTCTACGCTTCAGGTAGCGCACAGCAGTCGAAGTCAGCATCTTCTTTCTGCCACGACCAGGTAGCGTTTCAACAGTGCCCTTTGCCTTGAATTTGCGAATGATGCTTCCTAAGGTGTCTCTTGGTATGTTTAACATCTTTGCAATCTTCTTATAGCCATTGCCCTTCCTGTGAAGAGAAATCACCTCTTCTCTTGTCTTCCTGGACCATTCTCTTGCCTTCACCATGTTTGTAACCACACCAGTAAATGTCTAGAAGGAGCTGAGTATCACAGTCATTTTAAAGCTGCCTAATTGGTGCTTATTATGCTTGATTGCTGCTCGGTGACATCCACAGGTGTTTTCAATACCTGATGGAAAGCACCTGTATGAACCTCTGTTCTTCAGAGTGGTAGTCTTTAAGGGGTTGAATAATTGTGGCAATGAAGAAACCACATAAGAACCATTTACTACTGTATTACATAAACAATTGATGTCATTTTAGTTGCATTTGGGTAGTTACAACGTCCTTGTAGGATTTGATTCTGAATACAATTCCAAATGTACACTATAGTCCCTAAACCCCTTTACAGCATTGGGGGTTGAATAATTTTGGTCACAACTGTATACAGGTGTCTGACATGTGGCATATGATATAATAATTATTATTGCATTGATCGAAACATACACCATAACTCAACTTTTTTTAATCAGTGGTGATACACCCATAATTTATCAGCAGTACCTACAGGATTTCATTCCTGATTTTTATACTCTATGAACTCTTGTGCATACAACATTAAATGTATTCAAAGTGGACCTTCACCCTTCCCACCCATCTTTCATCATTTTTCTCCTACCCTACCTGCTCTCTCACAATTGGACACATATTTATTTTTTAATACCACTGCACATCCCAGGATGCCTCATGGTATTCTTCAGTTCATGGGCTGTGGTGCACCATCAGTCTCTCTCTAGTTCTTGCAGCTAACGACACACATTCACTACGGGTGCAAGAACCTTGGAGAGACACCTCGCTCCTGATCACGTCTGAAGGAGATGGTGGCACGGGACCAGGTGTGTAACAGCGGAGAAGCAGATCCCTACAGAACACAGCTGGATTTGCTGGGGTGAGAGTATGTTTTTTGTGGATAACCCAGTAAAAAAAGGTAGGAGGGGGGAAAAAACTATGGTAGGGGATGTTCTTCTTTAAGAGAAAAAAAATGTATTCTCCGAGTGTTTGTTTCGGCAAAGGAAAAATCAAGAGGTCAACTCTAAAAGATTGCTCTTCTCCATGTGACTGGGCAGACAAGTATATGTAGTGTGGATGAACAAGAAAAAACCAAACAAGGCAAGGAGCAGGAATGCAGAAGCAGACACCACACTATACTGTAAAAGGCAATAGAGCAACCACTGCTTTACATTAGACTCCAGGCAAAGCTGCAGAAGGCAGAGAAAGCACAAAGTAGCCTCGTTATCTAGAAAGGATTCAGCACACACTGACAATGGCACTTTCCAGATTTATTTAACAATCAAGAACAAAATGCAAGTCATTACTGCTTCAAAGATTTCCATTGTATGTCACAAAAATGCCCTAGATAGAAAATCCTTGTCAACTGAAATCGGAGGAACATCTGCGAAGAAGGTCTAAAAATGAGTCCAATAACTATTCTTACCTGGGATAGGCCAGTGCAGGAAGGTCTGGCTGTACTACCTTATTCTCACGTCCTAGTAAAAAATGCGCACTCACATTTCCCATGTCCTAGTATAAATGTGCACTCACTCCTTGCCATGTGCCAGTATAAATGTGCACTCACTCCTTGCCATGTGCCAGTATAAATGTGCACTCACATTTCCCATGTCCTAGTATAAATGTGCACTCACTCCTTGCCATGTGCTAGTAAAAATGTGCACTCACATTTCCCATGTCCTAGTATAAATGTGAACTCACATTTCCCATGTCCTAGTATAAATGTGAGCTCACATTTCCCATGTCCAGGGGCGGACTAACCATTCGAGCACTTGGGCACTGCCCGAGGGCCCGGGGTCAGTAGGGGGCCCCATAAAATTCCCATGGTACCTTTTATAGGCTTTTGTGGGTGTGTTTTGAGTGTGGGCAAGAACACAGGGGCCCCATGATCCCCAATTGCCCGGGGGCCCCATGAGTTGTCTGTCCGCCCCTGCCCATGTCCTAGTATAAATGTGAACTCATGCCTTGCCATGTCCTAGTATAAATGTGCACTCATGTCATTCCATGTCCTCGTATAAATGTGCACTCCTTCTTTCCCATGTTCTAGTATAAATGTGCAATCACTCTTTCCCATGTCTTAATATAAATGGGCACTCACTCCTTGACATGTCGTAGAGTAAATGTGCACTCACTACTTCCCATGACCTAGTATAAATGTGCAGTCACCCCCTGCCATGTCCTAGTATAAATGTGCACTCACTACTTCCCATGTCCTAGTATAAATGTGCACTGACTCCTTGCCATGTCCTAGTATAAATGTGCACTCACTACTTTCCATTCCCAGTATAAATGTGCACTCACTACTTCCCATGACCTAGTAAATGTGCACTCACTACTTCCCATGTCCTAGTATAAATGTGCACTGACTCCTTGCCATGTCCTAGTATAAATGTGCACTCACTACTTTCCATGTCCCAGTATAAATGTGCACTCACTACTTCCCATGACCTAGTATAAATGTGCACCCCCTGCCATGTCCTAGTATAAATGTACACTCACTACTTCCCATGTCCTAGTATAAATGTGCACTGACTCCTTGCCATGTCCTAGTATAAATGTGCACTCACTACTTTCCATGTCCCAGTATAAATGTGCACTCACTACTTTCCATGTCCCAGTATAAATGTGCACTCACTACTTTCCATGTTCTAGTATAAATGTGCTCTCACTTCTTGTTATGTTCTACTATAAATGTGGACACACTACTTCCCATGTCCTAGTATATATGTGCACTCATTCCTTGCCATGTCCTAGTATAAATGTGGACACTACTTCCCATGTCCTAGTATATATGTGCACTCACTCCTTTGCCATGTCCTAGTATAAATGTGCACTCACTCCATGCTATGTCCTAGTAGAAATGTACACTCATTCCTTGCCATGTCCTAGTATATATTTGCACTCACTACTTCCCATGCCCTAGTATAAATGTGCACTCTCTACTTCTTATGTCCTAGTATGAATGTGCACTCACTCCTTGCCATGTTCTAGTATAAATGTGCACTCGCTCATTCCCATGTCCTAGTATAAAAATGCACTCCCTCCTTCCCATGTCCTAGTATAAATGTGCACTTACTACTTCCCATGTCCTGGTATAAATGTGCAATCACTCCTTGCCATGCCCTAGTATAAATGTGCACTCATCCCTTGTCATGCCCTAGTATAAATGTGCACTCATCCCTTGTCATGCCCTAGTATAAATGTGCACTCACTCCTTGAAATGTCCTAGTATAAATGTGCACTCACTCCTTGAAATGTCCTAGTATAAATGTGCACTCACTCCTTGCCATGTTCTAGTACAAATGTGCACTGACTCTCCTATTTCCTAATATAAATGTGCACTCACTCCTTCCCTTGTCCCTGCATAAATGTGCACTCTCTCCTTGACATGTCGAAGTATAAAAGTGCACTCCCTCCTTCCCATGTCCTAGTATAAACGTGCTCTCCCTCCTTCCCATGTCCTAATATTAACATGCATTCCCTCCTTCCCATGTCCTAGTATGGACGTGAACTCCCCCCTTCCCATGTCCTAGTATAAATGCGGACTCACTGCTTCCCATGTCCTAGTATAACCATACACTCCTTCCAGTCTGTGTTCTAGTATAACCATGCATTCTCTCCTGCTCATATCCAGGTAAAAATGTTCACTCCCTCTTGCCCATGTTCTAGTATAAATGTGCACTCCATCCTGCCCATATCCTAGTATAAAGATGCATTCCCTCCAGCCCATGTCCTAGTACACACATGCACTCCATCCTGCCCATATCCTAAAACAGGGGTGTCAAACTGCGGACCTCCAACTGTTGTGGAATTCCCAAAGGCCAAGGCATGAAGAGACTTGTAGCTTGTCAAGAGCTGGGAGGGCCGCAGTTTGACACCTGTATTCTAAGATAAACACCTACTCCCTCCTTCAAATGCCCTATTATAAACATCCATACATGGGTTTTCTGAACATGCATTTTTATGCTTGAAATTGTGGCTAAAGATCTCTTCTGAATGGTTGATTCATGCATGCACATCCAACTATCCTCTGAAGCCACTTTTCCCCGTATGCATCTGTGTGTTTTGCTGCGTTTCAACAATGGACAACAAAAAGAATCCCATCATTGTGTACAGGTCCTGGTCACATTTATGCAACCATAGTTGTAATTTGTTATCTAGGATGAGCTTCCTGCAGTAGGCTCAATTCACTAAGCTATAATTGACCTTAATTTTCAGCAACAGGAGCAGAAAGAAATAACCACATGGCTTAAAATAACGATCAGTATGGCAAATAACACAGGCGTCGTGGCTTAGCGAATTGAGCATGTTATTTATAGCGGCACTTCCAAATTAGCCCTACTGGAGGTCCTAGACATCCCGCTAAGCAACAAAACCACAATAATTCAATAAGTTGTTCTTTCAGCATAGGCCCCAGAAGGCATAGTAAATAACATTGGATATATGTCCCCAAGCCTTAACAGACTGGCTTCTTTCACTTCGTTAACAAAAACAAGAATAGGCATATGGTATATTTGCATCATGACACTGATCTTTTGTGTTGCACAAACAATGCTTCTGAGAAAATCAAGTCATCAGAATACAGAACTGAGCCATTCTGCTTGTGCAACATGTGTCAGAGCAGGTCACAATATAGGATGAGGCCCTTTGTACCAAGATATGCACACTGCAACAAAAGGGAACCAAAAACCGGAATAAGAAGTGGTTATGGCAGACACTTGTTAATGCTCAGTTGACGTGTCTGAGGACGAAACTGTGAAGTCCAGAACAGATCTGAAAATGCTTTGAGTGGCTGATCCAGACCAAGTATGCATGTCACATGTTCCGACTTCACTGGGTGCATACTACTCCTTTAAATTCAAACTAGCCACAGACAGGCAGCTAGCATTCTCAGAAGGATAAGGCCAGTCCCTGTATATCACACATTACACATTAATGCCACTAGATATTCCCAAACACATCAATAAATACTTTTTTAAATAAAAGCAGTGTACGGTCCCAGTTTTTGATTTGGTGTCAGTTTCTACCAATCCTTGTACAGCAGAGCTCAGACTGAAGAAGGAAGAAGCAACACAATTAGACAATCAGTTGTACTGCAGTCTTTAACCACTTGCACTCCTGAGGATTTACCCCCCTTCATGACCAGGACATTTTTTGTGTTATGGCACTGCGTTATTTTAACTGACAATTGCGCGGTCATGCAATGCTGCATCCAAATGAAATTTATGTCCAATACAATGATAAGTGCTAAAAAAAGCACTGACACTGTACTAATGACACTGGGCAGGAAGGGATTAATGTGAGGGGTGATCAAAGGGTTAACTGTGTGCTGGGAGTGTTTTACTAGAGGGCAGGGGGGGGGGGTGTTCCTCACTGTAAGCACACTGATCGGGATGGCTGTACTGTGCACAGCCATTCCGAGCAGTGTGCTCGAGCTGACAGGGAGGTAGATTGTTTGTAAACAAAACAATCTTCCTCCCCATCGGAGATGCTCGGTAATCACTGGGCGCCAGCGGGTAATTACCGGCCATGACCTGGTGATTGACATCTGCACCCGGAAATGATGGCACGGGTAGGGCGTTCGCAGAACACGCGATTGCCCCCCTACCTGGAAATGCAATGACATATATATACACGATCCTGCACACAGGTGCTGCCCTGTAGCAGTATGTCTTCTATAGGGCGATCCTACAGCGGTTAATGCACAAACAAGGAAGATGCTGATAAAAAGAAAAGAGCAGAGCTATGAAAAGATGAGCTCATCATTCTGCTGATCCTCCTTTCACTGTCCAGTCAGACTGGGAAGAGACAAGGCCTATAAGTGTTAGGTTTTGTTCCCAACAGACAGCCTTACTGTTTGCATGGCTGTTGTTAACTATGTAACGATACATAACTATGTAACTATACATTTATAGGTAAAGTTGATCCAGGGAATATCCGATTGCCTCTTGGGGGATCATGAAGGAATATTTTTCCCTTCAGGAGCAAATTGGATCATGCTTTACTGGGGGTTTTTTTGCCTTCCTCTGTATCAACTGTGGGTATAGGATTATAACTTTTTTTTTAACTGGATGGACTTTTGTCTTATTTCAGCCAGACTAACTATGTAACTAAGATATGACCTGACATGAACAGTGCTGATGCACCAATCGCAGCACACAGCACCATTTGCCTTTTTTTTTTGTTATATCCTTATTGAAATGTCTGCGCCATTTCATAAAGCTGTATTCACACAGTATTTTGTTGCAACTCACTGGGTTGTAAAAAAAAAAAAAAGGAGTGGGAGGGGGATGCCCAGGGAGCATATCCTCAAAAGCTTGCCAGTGTTCAATCACCTGAAGGTACCAGCCTATAACCCAGGGTCCATGAATTCTAAGACTGTGTCCCATAATGAACAGTTAATACAAGTACAGCATGTAGTACTTTTGTTCACGGGCTTGTTCATACCAGGCACAAGACAACATGAAGAGCTTGAAGAGCTTTGTTCCCTATGGTGTGAACTGACACCATAGGGAACAAAGCTCTTCATGTTGTCTTGTGCTGGGACAGCACTGGACAGTGCACCTGGTGTGAAAAAGACCCTGCTGAACTGCAACCGAAAACAAATTAGGTCGCCTGCCAGCCAGAGCTGCACTTTGACAGAGCCGAGTAAATCCCAGAACTGGATGGACAGAAATACAAATCCTTTGGCAGGTAAACCTCCTCCCTTATATGCATTTAATTTATGTATTTATTGGTTTGCCTGGAGTTCACCTTTAAGACTGTAGCAAGACTTTACAAATGGTGCTGAATCCGGGAGCAAATGTATGCCATAAGCTGCTGGAAATTCTAACACCTGACACGAATAATGGGCAATTCATATAGTCGTGCATTTATCACTATGATAAGGCAACACGATATAATGAATGAGTTTGGACGTGCTTCAAGAAAAGAAAAAAAATACTGCTTGCCTTCCCAGCGCTTACCCAACTTCTCTTTGTGTATTGTAAATAGAAGCGACCAACG